GCCCCCCTCCCCTCAGTCCCTCCTTGCCCGCTCCCCCATACATATGGCCTCGCTTGATCGAGTAATCATCTTGCACAGCGTGAGCTCCACAGTGGGATGGGCCGCAAACACCCAACGAGACCCTGGACTAACCCCCCGCGGCGCCCAAGAGACCCTTCTCTGCTGGGGCCAGGCTCATGTTGATGTTTCAAACCATGCTGAAACCATTCGTCGGTACGTGCGTTCGTGCAGCCGTGATTTTGTCAATGCGCGCAGCCGTGGTATTGTCAAGAGCCTGCGTTTGCTGGAACCTAAGCGCGCGAAGCGCGCGCGTGGTTCTAGTTCCGATGTGTTCGGCCTCTGGGGGCCCTTCCTGGCCTCGCGACCGTCAAAAAACGACTGAGGAAGAGAAGCCGGTCCCAGGGAATGGGTCCGGACCTCTGGGGGTCGCGTCATGAACAAATATTGACGTCGGGAGTCTGGGAACGAGGGGGGGCGATCAAGGGCTGCAGCAAAGTGGCCTTCAGAGGTGCCCAAAAAAGGGCCCCCTATGGGGCCCCGAAGGTTCACGAATGGCGCACCTTTTTGTCCTTCCGTTACTTGCCTTCCCACTGAGCAGCGCTCGAGAGAGGATCGGCTACGTGAGTTGATTCGCGAACCCCCCTTTTTGGGATCCCCCGTTTTCGTGCGCCCCGAGAGGAGGGGGAGGAGGAGGAGGAGGAGGAGGAGGAGGAGGAGGAGGAGGAGGAGGAGGAGGCTCCAATCCTCGTGACCAGGCGCCGTGGAGGATTCACGGCTGGCGCTTTCTCACCGACTCCAGCCCTCCGGGGCCCTCACGGGTCGGTGGTGCCTGGGAAGTCCAGCACAAATGGGCTCGAGAGCCCCAGCGTGATTCACCCAGGTGCGCCGCCGCGCATTTCCGCCACCACGGTTGCGAAAGCGGCCTGGCGAGGTTGCCGCGCGGCAAGGCAGGCAGGGCACCGACGCATTGATAGCACCACGGAGAGCTCCCCGTTCGCACTGCACCACGGAGCGGGCTCACCACTACAGTTCCATCGTTGCCGCGTGCTTGCGCGTGTGTGGCGATTGGGAAGGTGTCGGGCGGTGGCAGGCTGCCCGAGTTGTCGTGGAAGTTGCGTCAAGGAGGAGCTGCCCTTCTCTCAGCCTGGGGGGGAACTCCCGAACGATTCGCCCGCTCCCCGTCCCCGTATGGTGCATCCGCCCTGTCGGAGGGGGATCGAGGCACCGTCGACCCGCGAGGGCCCCGAAGGGCTGGAGTCGGTGAGAAAGCGCCAGCCGTGAATCCTCCACGGCGCCTGGTCACGAGGATTGGAGCCTCCTCCTCCTCCTCCTCCTCCTCCTCCTCCTCCTCTTCCTCCTCCTCCTCCTCCTCCTCCTCCTCCTCCTCCTCCTCTCGGGGCGCACGAAAACGGGGGATCCCAAAAAGGGGGATTAGCGAGTCAACTCACGTAGCCGATCCTCTCTCGAGCGCTGCTCAGCGCCTGCTCCCCGTCCCCTCATGGTGCATCCGCCCTGTCGGAAGGGGATCGAGGCGCTGGCCTGTCGCCGAAGGTGCCTGAGAGGGCGCGCTGCGCGCAGCATCGCACAGCCACTGCGCCGGAACAGGGGCCACTCTGGGTTCGGGAGGGGCTCGCTGTGTTCCTGGGGCCGCTCCGTGGTGGTTCCTCCAGCCCTCGTGCACCCGGGCCCATTTGGGGGTGGGTGGGTGGTGTTCCTTGTTCAGCGCTCCTTGCTGCAGCAGCGTGGCTGCACTTGCACTGCGCTGGCCACTGCCTGGCCTCAGAAGTCACCGCTCACCGAACCACCCGAACCCAACCCGAAGGACCCGATTTGCCCCCATTTCCATGGGGGGGGGTCGGGGAACATGGACAAACACACATACACACATTAAGCTTGTACCCCCCCGACATGAAATTCGGGTCTTCGGGTTGGGTTGGGATGGTCTGGTGGGTAGTTAAGGCGCGTTTCGATGGTTCTGCTATGGAAAGCGTGACGCTCCCACAAGATGAGAGGACGTCCTGGGGTTCCATGGTTGGGTTTCTCGTGGAAGGCTTCTTGTGGTCGGGCTCTTACCGTAGAAGGGCGCGGTCTTCTGCCTGTGTCTCTCGGGGGATTTGTGGGGCCTCCCTCGGGCGCGGCGTGCCCGTCGGGCGCGCTTTCGGAGGCGGTCATCATTCCGCGCCCCGGCGGGCCGTCTTCGGCCGCTTTTTGGGTGCCTGGCCGTCGCGTTGGAGCCATCGCGGGCCGTTTTGGGGTTGTGTTGCGGTTGCTTCGGAGCGCGCGGCCGCGGGCCATTGCGATTTCATGAAGTCTTTTCCATGCGACGTTGAAGGTGGACAAGGATGGGGCGTCAAACTGAAAAGCAGCCTAGGAGCGGACATCCACATCTACAGAAGCCTTGGTCGACGTTGCTTGCTGCGTGGGTCGCTGCCCTCATGGGGCCTCTTGAGGACTTGTTCGAGGCCTTCTGGGGGAAACTCCCGCTGGCCGCATAGGTATC